CCAACAAAAATCCTGTCTATCACATACCCTTTCTGTTCCCAAGGGAGGGTGAGGCCTTCCATAGGGGTCTTAAGAGTCTCTCATATGCTTTGGGATAGGGCATAAGGCAACCACTGTGTGTCTTGTCCCAACAAAGTTCTCAAATGAATGATAACGAACATGCCACCAGTCACAGAGCTGTGTGTACCATTTGCAAGAAGCACCGCAGGAGCTATGCTATTTGGCTTCCCAAAGAGAGAATGAGCCAGACATCAATGGTGCTGCTTCTGGGCTCTCTGCTCCAGGGTCTTTAACCTGTGATCACAACGGCAGTTGGAAACATCATCTTAGAGGTCACCAGGCTCCATGTTGTCCTGTCTGATATGCTTCCATTTCTGGTAGAACTTGAAATTCGGAAACAACCTAAATCTGGTGTGCTGCACTGAAGAGATGACAAGGAAATATTTAAACTTCATTTGGATATTTTAAAACTACAATATGTCTATGAATACTAATTTTCAAAATGAGGCATACTGATCCTATATCCTTCATCCAGCAACTGGTGGTAGTAAAAGAGATACCCACAGCTAAACCTTGAACTAAACTGGAATCCAGTTGGAGAGAAGGAGGATTGATGAGCAAAGGGGTCCAGACCAGGCTAGTGAAACCCACAGAGACAGCTGACCTGAATATTGGAGAGATCTAGGTCCCCAGACTGATAGGTGGGAAACCAGCATGGGACTGATCCAGTTCAGCTGAATGTGAGGTTTAGTGAGGAGACCTCGGAAATAGATGGGGTCCCTTGAATTGAATCGGTGCTTATCCCTAGAATAGAAATATACTTTCTTAGCCCGTACCACATGGAGGGATACTCTCTGAGCCTAGACACAACGGGTTGGGCCTAGGCCCTATCCCAAAGTATATGACAGACTCTGAAGATGCCCTATGGAAGGCCTCAACTTTCCTTGGGAAGAGAAAGGGTACAGCATAGGTAGGGTGTGAGATGGGGGAGGCAGAGGAGGAGGAGAGTGAGAGGGAACAGGCATTGACAAGTAAAATAATCTTTCTAACACAAATAAAAAATATGAAAATATAAATTCACTATATTGAATTAGATTTATTGTTAGTAGACTGAGCAACTGGCATGTAACTTGTCCTTGGAAGCAGTAGGAGCACATGCATGTCTAAGCTGAGCAAGCATCCTAATATTCAGTGTAGTACTGGCCATGGTGTTTGGTATCTTCCACACAGAGGAAGGCTTTGGCCAAAGTGCCCTAATGTAAAAAAAAGACAGCAACAAGTTTCCTTTTCAATAGCTAATGTGCTCACTAGCATTTTATTACAGCATTTCAAAAAACTCTATATATTTTCTGTACTGGCAGAAAATATGTCTGATATAGCAGTTTGAGATTTTTAAATATACACATTCAAATTAAAATATACCTGTACTTCTAAATATTTTCTTCTTCCAAATGTGTCCACCTACACTAGTTCTCTTTCAAATTCATGGGCTCTGGATTCTTTTATTAAAAGTGCTCAGTCTGAATAATGTAACTTTTATGTCTATGGCTCAAGGACTTACCAATTCTAAGAAATCTAACAGGAGCTCTACCTTGGGAAGATTACTTTGTTTTAATGCTTTCAGCATTCTGTAATTGCTTGTAGTCTTCTGTCTAGGGTTGGATTGTGGTATAATTGTCTCTTTCCATGTTAGCACATGATAGTATTTATTCTTGGCCTAGTTTTACAGCATCAGAAAGGAACAAGTGCTCTTCCAAGCTATAGAAGCAAAGTTCTATTGGAATAGTGGATGTTACATTTAGAGAAAATACCCTGCAAAACAAAAAAGATTTTTACTTTGTACAAGCCATGAGGAAGTTGCTTCTACCTGAGAGAATGTAACTCTGTCAGCTGTCATGAGATGAGCTATTAAGTTGTTGGGGATTTTTGGCTTTTGTTTGTTTTGGTTTTTTGTTACATGATTTGTGTATGTAGCACTTGCTATGCTGAAAGTAGCTCTTATGCACTAGGGTGGCTTTGAACTCACAGAGATCAACAAGAAAGGCCAATCCACAGCTGGAATTAAAGGTTTGTATCACCACTGCCCAGCTGTGTAGGCTGTTCTTTCAAAAATTATATTATAAAATATTTCATTGTCTCATCAATTCATACAAAATAATGTGGCATACGGTTCCAAGAATGAGCAGTCAAATTGCTAACTTATGCTTTTGTAAGTTATGCTTGTTTGCTCAGATGTTGGAGGCACCAGATGGACATCTGCTAAAATATCAATACATAATGAGAGGATATGTTAAATTTGGCTCACAAAACTTATAATTTTTGGGTTTCCCTTTAGAATTATTTGCCTAGCAATTGCTAAGGCCATACATAAAAAACTCTAGTTTTTCTGAGCTGGGATTTTTAATAAGAAACTTCTAATTTCAAAAACAAACAAGAAAATGAGACATACTGGCAATCTACAATATCAGGATATTAGAGAAGTGTGGTAATATATTTTCTCAGAGTAAAAAAGACTAAGTATTCTAAAATGGTATAGTCCACTCAAAGGGAAAAACTACGACAAATGCAGCTTGAAGAAAAGTGCAGCAAACCAGAATTTGATCAATATGCAAGAAAATTACATTTAATTCTGTGTTTGAAATTCAAAATCCCTGCCTCTTTGACAAAAAGCAGGGAGGGGGCAGAGATAGATGAATCAGCAGCTCTGACACAGATCTCCAGGGACTGCAGTCATTTGTTTCCATTCCAGGATTTGAGATCTCTCTCCCCATTGGTTCCTGATGCATCTCTAAATGTATTCCCTCCTCCCTGGGAGGCAATCTGATGTAATAAAAATGTCTGCACAGGAGGATTTTTTCCAGACAGGGTCCTGGCTAATATCCAGCTCTTAGGTGGAATTAGTCAAACCCTGACTGTAAATGACTCCAGAGAAGGGAAACTATCCCAGAGACCTGCATGAGACAGAGACAATATAAACCTAGGATAAGCAGGTTTGGTAGGAATCCCATGCTGCCCTGCTAAGTCACTCTCTCTATTTGTAGTGCAGGTGATGTGCTCTTCCCTTGGAAGTTTCTGTTACTTCTTTAATATCTGCCATTCCCCTGTAGTTTTGAATCCTGCAATTTGGGCAAAGTAGATTTCCTTTTGAATCAGTATATTACAGAAACGTGTCTTGTGTTGATCATATGGGCCACTGTAAGATACAATATAAAATACCTATTTAGGGAAGAATTTTTACTTAGTCATCTAGGACTCTTTGTATTTCAAATGTCAGCATCTCCAAATAAGAGACATCAGAAAACTTTACAAGCCAGCTCTCCTTGGAAGTCCTAAATCACTGTCAGCAATCAGAAGGTAGAGAGGGCAGGGGATTTCACTAGATAGCAAATATAGGCACAAAACTGGATGTATGTTCACCCCTACTTACCCAAGGATGCTTTTCTCTTTTGTTTCTTGTATTCAGTTCTTAGGATTAATTGTAACTTTCTCCTCATCCATTGTATTTCATGATTTCTGCTGCAGGACATGTTAAGCTGAGTGGGAGAAATGAGTGAGAAGCTGAGAAGGAGATCTCAAAGCTTTCCTCAGGATTTGCTTTCCATGATGGAATTGATCAGACTATTCCTATTGGTTCAGGCTCCAAATGACATTTGAATGCAAACAGACCTTCAATGTGAGGAAAGAAGAGATTATAAGTTATCAGAATTAGTCTCTTACAAGACATGTTGTCTGCATTCTAGTTCTTAATAGATCTGGGATAATACAAAAACCCTACTGTAATTTGACCCAAAGGAAACTGTTCTGACAAATGCAGAAGATATAGCCCATGGAGATTAACAATTTCTCTTTGTGTTTGATTCCTTGTATTATAGCTCTGAATCATTGATTCTTCCTCCTGTAAATCAAGGAGATGTCTGCACTTTGAACTACTGGTTATCTTTAAAAATGTGACATCCCACTCTCAGACCTAAAGTGCTACAGTATCTGCAAAAAATAATTCTCTTGAGTCATTAGGAAATCACAAAGACTAGGAAAGGACTTTCTTTACTCCCCTGTGGTGGAACCCTTATTGCAACACTTACAGCATTATAAATTTATTCATGAAAATTACACTTTGCTGTGCTCCATCCCAACTTCACCTGACTCACAGATGTGTGTGTATATCAATATGTCTTTAGGACTCAGTTTATTTCTGTATGCCTCTTGCAGAATGAAAGAAATTCCTTTTATATATCTTCAGCATTCTCGCCCTAGCACCTGTCTATTAAAGCAGCTTGTGGTTTTCCTTACATACCATAGTCATGATCACCAACCTCATAATTATTGATATATTCTTAATTTTTGGCCACAGTGACAAATATATTTTAAAATATCACTCACTATTTTCTCTTTTATGTCATATTGATCATGAGAGACAGCAGTTTTATTCCTGCAAACTTGAAGCCACTAACATGATTACTAACCTTCCATTGTGTCACCTGAAGCTTCTAAATGGCAGCAAATGGATTTCTTTGCTATGATGACATAAGCATAAAGCAACATCAACAATAGGTTCTTTTTCTCATAATTGATGTTCTATTCATATTTTCAAAATCTTACCTGAATATCAAGTGTGTCCCCATATATGTCCCTGCTGCCAAGAACAAAACCAATACATTACTGGAATCTGAGTGAGAACACTCTCTTTTCCCTTCCTATAAGGTGTCTAGTTTTCTCAATATCACACTAGATATACTTTGATGAAATTCAAGTAATTTATAATAATTATATAAGTTCATGTAAGTCTATATGTTGAGTTTTCTCATATAAGTTATATGTATGCATGTATGTATACGCATGTTTAAATTTTGTAGGCATATCATAGAATTTCTTGCATGCTATTTGTATTTGCATTACTTCATGCTTCTTTTTGTTTCCTCCTTCAATATGATAGCTGCAACAATAAATGTTAAATTAAAAATAACCAAACATTCCAATGATTTTATTATCATTATGTAAATATACACATATCTAACCCAGACTGCATACAGATTTTTGTTATTATTTATAACAGATTTAATATTGACATTTTGGAATTAAAAGGAATATAGAAGTTATGCTTCAATAGAAATAGATGCTTTACATTTCCTTGCAATATAGGCCTTTGAATTTTCTACTAATTGTGGTAACTGAGAAATGTTCCCATCTGATTTTGCATTAGTTTCTGATGTCATTGAATTAACCTTTCTTGGTTGTTTCTTTGCTTTTATTTTCTTTCTATTATTTTTCAAATTTCCAAAACTTTCTGTTTTTAATTCCCTATCCCTTTTGGAAGACACTGTCTTCACCCCAGATGTCCTTTTTCTTTGGATAACAGAAGGTATATGACCATTGCAGGCAATATTGTCTGAGTCTAAAAGTGAAAGTGGATTGTCCGGATTAATCCGTTGTCGTTTAAGGACACAATGCAAGTTATTGGCCATTTCAGCATTTGTGAAAGTGTGGAACTGTGCTGTAAAATGGTGTTGATTTTCATGACAGTTAAAACAAATCTTGCCCCCAGGTGTAAGGATAAATATTCAGGATAAATTTGATAATAATATGGCTTCAGGGAAAATGCAGCTGATTGTTCTTTTTTTTTTCCACTATCATTCTACCAATGTGGGGATAGTTAGGCTATTGTATTGCAAGTTTTTCTTCCTGTCAATGATATATGATCCCCTTGCTGAAAAAAAAATACTGTAAAAATTTCAGACATGTTTGGGTCACAAGCAGTAACCCCACAAATGCCTAAAGGTTAGTTCAACAATAGGTGAGCACGTTATTATATTTGAAGAAGCCACTAAAAATTCAAATTTGCCTTGATGTTTTGTAGACTTCTAACATGCAGTTTTGACACAGTGAAGCAGTATGTTTAAAAGTTTATTATTAGCTACTGAATAATTTACAGTATGTCTTTGTATTGTACTAGTGAATTGAATTGATAAAATGAACTTATAAGTAGAGAAACCATGATAGAACACATTTTACCCAATTCTGAAGTCTTATGTACAGCAGATTGAACAACATTCTTCTTTTTGGATGTTTTTGTGGGTTAAAAAAACATCAGAGACACTGGTATGTGTCTATTTTTAGGCACACTGTCTCCTCGCGGTTATTATTTTCTATCTGTATCTTTTTTAACTTCTCTTTTCATTTATTTTTTTATCGTAAGAGACGAATTTACAAGTGTTCTCTTAGTTATAGTAGTACTCAGGTCAGCTAATGTATGTGACACAACATGGTAGTGTTCTCTGAGTGTGAACTTCATGGCTGAGTCATCAGGGATCCATGATTATAAACACAACTCTGGCAAACTGTTGTAAGCATGCTAATGCTGAATATGTTACTGATAACTTCTCAGAAACAATGGTACTTCCGCTTGGTGGTAGGTACTGTTTTGGTTGTGATTTTCCTTTTTAAATTATTAATTCATATTTTCCATTCTAGGCCAATTCCTCACCATCCCTTCCTCCCACTGCCCCCATTTCACCACAGACTTCCAAATCCACATTAGAGAGGGTAAAGCCTTCCTTGGGAAGTCTAAAATTCTTTCCCATCATCAGGTAGGGGCAAGACCAAGGCTCCCCTCCTGGTCTAGACTGAGAAAGTTTTCTCTTCATATAGAAAGGACATCGGTAAGTTATATTGTGCATTACTGTAATATCTTAGACCTATTGCCAATGCCCTCATATAGTTCCCTAGCTGCACCAATGTCTCCTATATTTTGGAGGTCTAGGTCATCTTATGCAGGCTCCCAGATTTCAGACCTGAGAGATTGACCTCTCAGTTGCTCTGGTCAGCTGATTTTGTGGTTTTACCCACTACTGACTTGAATCCTTTGTTCATATCATCTCCATTCCCTCACTTTGAATGTCCCCAAGAAATAGGAAAAAATCAGACAGAGTGAGGTAACCCAGACTCAGAAAAAAAAAGATATGGTACCTACTCATTCATAAGTAGATACAAGTCATAAAACAGCAGATGCCCAGCCCACAATCCTCAACACCCAGAGATAGCAACAGTTTTAGAAAGAGATGGAAGAAGATGCAGAAAACCAAAACTAACCATTTTGTAGGCCTTCTTTAGATACTCATTCCTTTCTTAATCATTGCGAAGCAGAAAACTTTTCTCTGTTAAGCAAGTTCAACTTCTCTGTATTATCCTTATAACTCCTAAACTCTTATCTTCTTCCCAGCAACCACACAGTTGGTTCTCCCACCTAAATTAACCTGTCTAAATATAATCCAGTCAGCTTCTTTTTTAAACATATCTCACTGACATATATTCACACAGTATAAATGAATATTCCATACTCTATTTTATAATTAAAACTTCATAATGAAAATATTTGGGAATAATATTTTATATATTTTATGTGTAGATTAAGTCTAGAATATCTGTGTTTGTTTCTTACATATTTCACACATTAAGCAGTGATTATCTTAATTTCTCAGGCCTATAACCTCAACAACACCAGCAACAAGTTGTAATGCAAAACATCAGAGTTGATGTTTAATTTCATATGACATGCTTGTCCATGATTTATAGTTGCCTTAATATATTGAAAAGAAAGTTTGAAAATGACATGTGCTTCTAGAAACATATAAACATGGTGAATATGATATGTACAATCAAGGGATTATAGACATGATTATATTTTATTTGATACTGCATAGAAGGAGAGCAGTTGTCTGTGATACAGAGGTATCCCTGAGTCACCTGCAAAGTTTATGGGCAGAATAAGATGGTGTGCTAAGTTTTACTGAAGCACCAAGGTTTAAATATATGTACTTGAAATTCCCATGTACAGTTAGAACTCAGAATATATCTGCTGCTAAAATTGTGTGTGTAGATAGATAGATAGATAGATAGATAGATAGATAGATAGATATCTTCATATGTGCATACTGTTGTTCCATTATCTTAACTGTAACTTCACAGTAATTCAGGAAAAGAATATGGAGGTGTTTCCTATATCCTCTTTTTTCCTGCAATATATGTGTAGAGAAGACAGAAGAATTACTTAGGCAGTTGAGGATTTGATGTGATTTACAACAAGTATTCATATAATAGAATTTAAATTGGAGTAACAAAGATGGCCATCCCATAGTTCGAGTGGAATAAGATATAATGTTCTAAACAGTGGTTAGCAATTTGGTCTTTGATTTATATACATTTTGCTATTTTTATTTTATAGATATATTGTTGACAGCCAGGTAGACATCCCATTCAGCAACAAGTTCATTTGGAAATTTGTAAATCTAGGCTATACTCTCAGAATTCTGCTTTCCTTTTATTTTACTTTATTATGTTATTTTTAAAATTGCAATGAGACTTATTTGGAACTAGAAACAAGCTTCATTTACATGTTAACCCATTTCCTGACCCCTCCACTCCATCCATGCCCCAAACCTCCTACCCAACCCCATTCCCTCCTCTCCTCTCCTCTTCACTTTGCCCCCTGTCTTTCACCCAGCTCCCTTTCGCCTACTCCCATGCTCTCAATTAGAACAGGAGATCCTATCCACATATCCAGAGGAACATGCATTCTTCTCTTGAGGTGCTCCTTTTTTCCTAGTTCTGTTGTTGAAGTGAATTGTTGGCTGCTAATCATTTGCTCTATGTCTAAATTTCATATATGAGTCAGTAAATACCATGTTTGTTTTTTGTGACAAGATTAGCTCACTCAAAGTAGTTTCTTCCAGTTCATCCAGTTTTATGTTGAGGTCAGGAAGACAAAACGACAGCCCACAATGGAAAAGGATCTTCACCAACCACAGAGACAGCTAAATAAAATTTAAAAAAATGAATTTTTATTTGAGACAACCCAAATAAAAATGAATTCAAAAGCTAGCCACCAAAACACCAAACAATGAAATTAAAAAAAGTGGGAGGCAGTACTAAATAGATAGTTCTCAGCAGAGATGACTATATCTAAATTCATAGTAGATATAAGTATGTAGGTGACTGTGACCTACTATGTGTCACTGAAGCAACTGCAAAATGTTGTGTCAGTAATGATACTGTGCTTACCTTTATTGACGAATGTTCAGGCATATGCATGAAATTTCTCTGTGATGTTTGTCCTCAATAATTCTCCAACTTTCATATCAAACACTTTTTTCTTCAAAATCATATGGAAGCCCATTTTATTATTCATGTTGCTGCTCCCATTCACTGACATGAAATGGAGAAACACAAGAAGAAGGGTAAACACTGTTAGTTTAATATATTCATGAAATAAGCAGAAAAAAATGTAAAGTGAAACATTCCATTGTTCCAAATTTTCTGTCTAGTACATGCAATTTTTCATTATCAAATTCACAATAAGTAGCAAGAAGTTAAATGCAAAAAAATACATTTGTTCATTTAAGAATTTACTGATAACATGAAAATACACAGAGATTATCAAAGGTGATTTCATTATATATTTCATTCTCTGTGTGTACTATAGTTTATTGTTTTAATCCAAACGCCTCTTGAGTCTGAGAAAGAACAGACAGGAGCTTCATCTATTCTGTACTTAATGTATTATATGTGAAATGAATGCCCCAGCAATCACACATATTCTGACAATTCATCAGGAAATATTGAAAGTATTCAGAAAATACATTTTAAAACTGGAGGAACACAGAGGACCATATATAACTAGGGAGGGAGGAGGACAATTTGACCTATATAGTGTATAGCAGTGTGTGTTCCTAGTATCAATCATTATGCTGTTTTATTTTCTTTTATATTTTTAGAGTGAACATCTCAGTTAGTAATATTCTCATTTGGATATTTCAAACCTACAATATGTCGATGAATACTAATTTTCAAATGAGTCATATTTGCATTCTACAATACCAATATATAAGAGAAGTGTGGTAACAAATTTCTCTGAGAATAGAATGTTATGTATTCTAGAATGGCATATTTCAGTCAAAGGCAATAACTTATTGCAGATCAGCTTGTTTTATAAAAATGTGCAGCAAACCTGAACTTGGTCACCATGCAAGCAAATTACATTAAATTCTGTCCTCCGAAATCAATATTCATACTTCTTTGAGAAAAACAGGGAGGGGAGAGAGATAGATGAATCAGGAGCTCCTAGGCAGATCTCCAAGGACTGCAGTCATTTGTTTCCATTCCAGGGTTTGAGAATCTCTCTTCTGATTGGCTCATGATGCATCTCTAAATGTATTCCCTCCTCCCTTTGAGGCAAACTGATGTAATAAATATGTCGGCACAGGAGGATTTTTTCCAGTCAGGGTCCTGGCTAATATCCAGCCTGTAGCTGGAATTAGTCAAACCCTGACTGTAAACAACTGCAAAGAAGGGAAACTGTTCCAGAGACCTGCAGGAGACAGAGAAAATATAAACCTAGAATAGGAAGGGATTTCCGGTGCTGTGCTGCTGAGTCACTTGCTGCTGTTTTCAGTGTAGGTTATTCACTCTTGTCTCAGAAACCCCTTTTTCTTCCTTAATATCAGTTATCCCTTTGCTAGTTTTGAATACATCAATATATGCAAGGACATTTTACTTTTGAATCACTGTCAGAAACATGTCAAGTATTGATCATATGGGACTTTGGATCATATATTATAAAATGAACATTTACCTGAGAATTCTTACTTAATAATCTTGGAATCTGTGTGTTTCAACTGCCAGATTTCCCCAATAAGGACATTTGGGTTATATGACATGACTTCAGTCAATATTAGAAGCCAGCTGTAATTGGCAGCCCAGAATCACAGTCAGCTCTGAGAAGGCATAGAGGGAGGATTACATTTACATAACCTGTATATAGTCACAAGGAATAGGATATGTTTACACCTACTTACCCTAGGATGCCTTTCTCTTTTGTTTATTGTATTCAGGGTCTAGGATACAGTATATTTTTCTTATCATCCATTCTATCCGCGGTTTCTGCAGCAGCACACTTTAGTTGGCAGGGAGAAATGAATCAGCATTTCTGAATGAGATCTCCAAGCAGCAGGAAATTTGCTCAGCCAAAGGACAACATCAGTCAGTGTTGTCTACTGCTATATAGATGCAGAATCATGATTAATTAGTATTTGATACTGTCTTCCCGTTCAATTCCACTGCATGTTTCAAACGAACAGGGAAGGCAGAGGGAGAGATGAATCATCAGGTGGGATGGAGAGCTCTAAGAGCTGCAGTCATCTGTTTCCATGTCTGGCTTTCTGTTCTCTCTCCTGATTCGTCCCTAATGCATATCTAACTTCATGCCCTCAGCCAATAGGAGGCATTCTTCTGTAATAAAAGTGACCGTGCTGGAGGATTTTGCCAGCCAGGCTTCTGGCTTAAGTTCAGCTCTTAGCTGTACTTAGGCCAAGCCTGGCTCATAACAGCCCCAGAGAAGGAAGAACATCCCTGATGTCTGTTGTGGCAGGGGCATTTAAAACCTAGGATATGGTAGGTGAATGGTGTGATTTCCCACAATCCTGCCATGAGAAACTGCTCCTCTATGCTGGGAAGAACGTGAGCCCCTGCCTCTGAATCCACAGCTTCAGCCTTTGTATATGTGATTTGATTACAAGCTCAGTCTTGGAATCTGCATTATGTGCAAAAGATTTACTCTTAACTCAATATTTATCAAAAACATGCTTCTGCTAATTAAATGTGTCCTTAGATGCCACAGTATAAATGGCTACAATTAGGGAGAATAATTACTTAGAAATCTGAGACAATGTGAATTTCAATTGTCGTATTCCATAAGTAAGTGCATTTTTGAAATCTGACATAGCATCAAAAATCATTACATGCCAGCTGCAGCGAGCAGCACAGAATCAAAATCAGCCATCAGAAGGCAGAGATGGAGGGTTTCATCTAGATAGCCTGGATATAGGCACAAGCAGGTGGAAATATTTTCAGTCCTACTTACCCCAGGAAGCTTTTCTCTTTGGTTTATTATTGTATTTTGGGCCTTGGATAAATGATTGTATTTCCTGTAATCCTTTTTCTGGCTCATTTTTTCTGCGGCAGCAGACGTTTAGTTGGGAGGGAGAAATGAATCAGCATCTCAGAAGGAGATCTCCAAGCGTGCTTCAGGATTTGCTTTCCATTGGTGGAATTGAGATAACTCTCCTTAAGATTAAGATTCTAAATTCCATCTTAATGCACACAGATATTCAGGGAGACGGAAGGGGAACTTACAAATTTTCAGAATTACAGTTTATTATAAGACAGTCTCTAGCTGCATTTTAGCTCCCATTAGCTCCTTTGTATAACCAAAACCAAACTGTAAATTGTCACAGGAAATGAAACTAGTCTTGACACATGCAGGAGATTGAACAGATACAATTTAGCAATTTCAGTGATTGCTTGCTTCCTTGTATTACAGTTCTGATTCATCTGATTCTCTGTCTTGTGTAGCAAGGGCATGTCTGCTTCTGGAAATACTGATTATCTTTAAAGGTGTTTCAGACCTCAAGTGGTGCTATTTCTACAAGAACAATAATTCTCTTATCGTTTTAGTATATAACCGAGGCTAGGAGGTGAGTTCTGTCTTTACTCCCCTCTGGGAGATCCCTGATTTGAATGCCCATGGCATTCTAGATTTCTTCAGGAAAATTTGATTGACATAAATTACAACCAGTACCTTTTACAGACTCTCCCCTGTCACCTAATTCTATGATTGAAACCACAGTACAGCACAGCAAATTCTCTTGTTATCCTATTCACATTAGGTTCACACAGGTTTAGCTTGGAATTCTGTGTTTGTATTGTTAGTCAAATATTCATATAGAAAATATTTTAATTTTTTGTTCATATATGTCAGTGCGTTCCTATCCTAGATATTAGGCATAGGGTTACCTTTTTGGCAATGCATGTTTTATTAATTTTTTCAGACAGACATTAAACATCAGATTTCATTGTTCTTATTTGAGTTGTTTTTATATGCTTTAAACAGTATCAACATCATTTGCCTCCTCTCTCAGACTCTGAATTCCTGTATCTGGCAGTAAACCTGAGACTGCAAATATTGGGTCACTTTTTAAAGAAGTCCTCTGTGTTACATATCAATCCCCTCTTTAACTGTCTCTCCCATCATCACATGCTCCCTGGTGGCCCCCAATCAAGCCACCACCCAATCTCCAAGAATATTGAGGCCCTTCACCTGAGACCACCAAAATCTTTCACATCATTTGGGGAAAGCCAGGTTACACTATCTTCTATCTGGGTTGAAGTAGCATCCCCATAGGGAATATGACCCCAAATTCCATTTGTGCTCTAGGGATAAACACTGGTTTCACTGTTAGAGGTCCCATAGAGGATCCTGTCCTCCTAACTGTTGGCCACATTCAAAGGGCTTGTTGGCTCCAATGCTCGTTCCCTAGTTTTATTACTAAGGTCTCCGTGCTTTCACTAAGTCAGTTCAACTGTTTCTGCAGGTTTCTAGAGCACAGTCTTTGCTTCTTTGCTCATCCATCTTCCTTCTCATTAACTGGATTTCAGGATTGGGGCTCATTGTTTAGCTGTGGGTGCAGATTTCTGCTCTGTCAGATACTAGGTAAGAGCTCTAGAAATGGCAACCAAAATAGTTATCAATCACATGATAGGGTAAGGGCATCATGTCTCCCATTCCATCACTGCCTTGATTCTTACATGAGGTCATCTCTGTAGACCCCTAACTTGTTTCCTGGGATAGACCTCTCCCCAAACCTATACTGGCTCCCACTACCAAGAGGTCTCATTTCTGACCCTCCTTCATTTTCTGCCTGACTCAGTCCTATGGTTTTTGCCTATTCTCCTGTCACTTGTTCTCTCTCTACACTTCCCACACTACTCTGCTCTCCCTTTAGGCTCCCAGATCACTCTGGGGTTCTTTTCCCTCTCCCATTCTTTGAAAGAACATACCTTCTATTCTTGGTGTCTACCTTGTTTTCTACTTTCATAGTATACCAGATTTTAAGCTGGTAGACCTTCTCTATAAATCTAGTATCTATATTTGAGTAAGTACATACCTTACTTCTTTTACTTTGATTGAGTTAACTTGCTCAGGATGCTTTCTTCTAGTTCCATTCATTTGCCTGCAAATTTAAAGATTTCACTCTTTTTTTTCTGCTGGGTAATACTCCATTGTGTAAATTTATCAAATCTCTCCAACAATTCACCTTTTAAGTGCATCAAGATTGATTCCAGGTTCTGGCTATTGCAAACAATGCTGCTCTGAACAGAGTTAAAAATATTTCCTTTTTGTATGAATGTGCATTTTGGGGTATATATCAAGAGAGGATTTGCTGGATCATAATGTTAATTGTTTCCCATTTTCATGAGAAACCACAATGCTTACAAACCAAATTTGTCTTAAAGTTTGCCCTACAACCATCAGGTGTTTCTCAATACTGTTTTCCCAACTTGTAACTAAAGGACAGATGTGTTCATTAAAACCCAGGGAACTGGGATTGACATGGAAAATAATATGTCCAATTCAAATAATTTTAAAAACATCTCCTAATGATAATATTGGGAATTAATATTCTATGTGTATGTTAACTCTTTAATATCTATATAGGTTTCTCAAATATGTCACACATTAAGCAGTTATTATCCTCAATCCTCTAGGCTATAACCTGAGCAACACCTACAAATATGGTATGTGAACCAGCAGACTAGTTGTTTACTTTCATACTAACTGGTTGTCCATTAACACACTTGCCTTAAGAAATGGGATAGATTTATAGTATGACATTACATTTTGAAGAATATGAGCAGGGTAAATAAGTAGGTGAAATATTATAGGCATGACTACAGCTTACTTGATAATGAATAGAAGAAGGGCAGGTACCTAATATATAGAAGGTATCATTGATTCAACTGGTAAGTTTATGTGCAGAATAAATAATGTGCTATGTTTTGTTGAAGCAACAAAGTTTAAATTACATGCATGAAATTCCCACATCCTGTGAGAACTCAGAATACAAGTGGATCTAATATTGGGATTTTGTATTCTCCAATATCATATCAATTTTTCTCTTAAAAAGTCCCCTTTTCATAATGAAGCGGCTCCTCAATTTTGCTGATATGAAGAGAGCACAGTACATCAAATTCCAACAGAAAAAAAAACAGTGAATCTGATTATTTCCATGAGATATAAAAACTTGGTATAGGAAAACCATCCAGTGCCTATTATTTTCTCTCCACTACTTGCAAATACTCAAAAGCAAATCACACTTTTAAAGTTCTTTTAAATATTTTTTTTTTGCTTTATACAGTTTTTACATGTTATCTTAAAAATCCACTAAGATTACCACACGGGACATTGCATCACAGATACACACACACACACACACACACACACACACACACACACACACTGTATCAGTAAACTGATTTGCCTTCTGAAATGGGGTATAGAGATTTTCAAAAAGGTTTTCAGGGACCTCTTTGGAAATTATGGCCCTAGACATGAATACCATTTATAGAATGTGTATAGTGTTCCACCAGACAGTTTCCAAATAAGCACATAGAGACTCGCTATTAATTTTAAAATTCAGCCAGAAGCTCAGTCTTGTTAATGGCTAACTTATACATTTTACATTTACTAGTTTTTCTTATGTTGCCGATGTCAAATGGATTGGTACCTTTTATCAGTACTACAGGTTCATCTCCTCTGCAATTCTCATGATTCTGAGACTACTCACTTCTTCCCAGCAACCATATATTTTGTTTCTTCCAACTAATATTAACCTGCCTAAATCTAAACAATTTATTTTTTATCGATTCATTCACAGTGACTTGCATTCATACACAGTAAGTTAATATTACTCACTTAGTTCTTTAATTTTTGATAGATACTCACTATTTAATACATGTTATTTATATGAAGATGAATACATATATTTCGATGTTGCCCATTATTTAAAAATATGTATGATTAAATTTCTTCATGAAAATTTGGGGAAATAATATTTGATGTGTATGTTGAATCTAAAATATCTATATTTGTTTTTAAACTTTTCACACATTAAGCATCAATTCTCAAGGCTATAACGTGAACAACACCTAACAAATATGGAAGGTGAACCTGCAGAGTCGGTGTTTATTTTCATACCAATTGTATGTTCATAACCTACAGTTGCATTAATATATGTGATAGAAATTGAAGTATGGCATGTGCATTTTGAAGAATACAAGCATGACAAATGTGGTAGATGAAATCAAGAGAGATTATAGGGAAATGACTAGTAT